TCTTGAAGGGTAAAATGGTCTGTGACCAAAAGGTAAAAATAGTTAGAACTCCAGAATGAGAATGAAGTGCTAAGAGAAGTGTTTGCCATAGTTGGACAGAGAGTGTCTGGTTAGTTAACGGCTGTGAAATCCTTCACAGAAGTAGACCATAGACTTCACCACCACATAGTAAATTAAATTGATAGCATACTCCATGGACCTTAAGAAACTAGGAGATGTCGCTTTTTCAGTGAGTTATCAAATTCCTGTCCTGAAACTGTTCTTCATATTTTTTGAATCATGGTCTTAATTTCCCTTAAGAATTTGGTGAAGTATATGGCTCTCCCCAAATTTGATTTCATTGTATTTAGAGACTACTGAAGCCCATTTGGGGATTTTGAAAGGGAGTCTCCTCTTTTTCTCTCTTCTTTAAATTTTTTTTTTTTTTTTTTAATGATAGGCATTTAACCCAGCACTTTGCACATGCTAAGCATTCACTCTATCAACTTAGTTAAACCTCCAGTCCCTGAAAGGAGTTTTTTAGTAGTGAGTGATACATAGGTCTCTTAAATGGATATAAAACTCCCAACAGTGATATTTGATAATTTTATCAGATACTACATAGAACCTGATGTTACTTTTTTGTGTATCTACTTTCACATAACTGTAAAGTAAAATCAGATTTATAAATTAAATCAATAGTATAAACTGATAAAATTTAAAATTTAATTTCAGCAACATTAATGTGACAGATGATACGCTTTTGAAACTAAATTGTCATTCACAGTGTGAATATTATGCAGATAGTGTAGAGTGAGTTTGAGCTGCAGTGTCACACCCCAAATAAAAATTCTTAAACTATTTTTCTGTGCTTGTACTTTAAAACCTGTGTTTGTTCAGAATGCTGTCCTATAATTTTAAGGTGCAGTCTCCTACTTAGAATCTTTCAACTTTATGATGGTATGAAAATTATAAATAGTCTCTAAAAACTGCATTGTGAATTTTTACTTTTGATCTTTTCCTGAATGGCAGTGTGGTATAATACTCTCATTATGCTGGGCAGTGGCAGGGAGCCAAATAAACAGTCAGTGTTCTACAGTGTACTGAGTTGCTAAGTTGTGATATTTTGTAGATAAGTTTAATAAATGCATGTTTAACTGATAGTATTTTCAGCTTACAGTAGGTTTGTGGGGATATAACCCCCATCCTATGTCTAGGAGTATCCTTATAACTAATTCTGTTTCTACTTTGTTAGTATTAGCTGGCAGCAATAGCATTGCCATTTGATACCAACCCCCAAACACTGAAATCATAGGGGGATACTAAATACTGATCATTCAGATGATCCATACTTGGTATCTGTTAATTTTATTGTAGATCATGATGAAAATAAAGAAAAATTTAAAATAATTTTCCTTACAAATTATATCATTTCTAAGCCAGGTATGGTGGTGTACACCTGTAATTCCAGCAGCTTGGGAGGCTGAGGTAAGAGGAGCACAATTTCAAAGCCAGCCTCAGCAACTTAGCGAGGCCTTAAGCAACTTAGTAAGACCCTGTCACAAAATAAAATGTAAAAATGGTCTGGGGATGTGGCTCAGTGGTTGAGGACCCCTAGATTCAATCCCTGGTTACCACCCTCCTCCAAATACAAAGAACTATATCATTTCTAGAAGAAAATTTCTGGTATCAGCAATATTAAAAGCTGCCTAGCTAAAATTGTGGAATTAAGAGGTCATTAAGATTTATTTAATGCAAAATAAATATAATGAGTGCTCCTATATTTTAGAAATTATCTTAGGTTTCAGGACTGTAACAAGTAAACCTTAATTCTTGACTATAAAACTTTTACTGGCTCATTAAAAGGTTAGTTGGGGAGAAAGGTTAATGTATACCTAGCTAAGGGGTTGAGTTAAGCACAAGTAAAATAGCAGCCTGATTAATAACTGCTTACCTGTGTCTACAGACATGTAAGCTAGAGGACTGTTTAACTAAGCATTTGCTACTTTTTTTGTGTTTTTGTTTACAAAGCCTTGTTTCTATATTCTATAAGTTTATTTTTTTATTTGTATTATTAGTTATCTATTTTTATTTGTAATTCCCTCTATCTTACCTCCCCTTGTGCCATTTACTATACTAGGAATATTCATTTTTTTTAAAAACTAGTTATTGGAAGATTTTGACCAGTGGTCAAATTGGGTCAATGTAACCTGGAATCAGTTAGAAATAAATACATTTAAAAAAGAAAAGAAAAAAATGGATGATTTGAATAAATGAAAAATTAGTTATTTGTGCAATTGGTGTGCTAGTACTTATTCTACATCAGGTAATAGACCTTGGGGTAGTTGTTATGATGAACATTCATACATAGATCATTTCTCTTTCTGTTTGGAGCCCATGTCCCAAACTTGGCACAACTTTTGTAAAATTCCAGAGAAGTTGCAACATAGTTTCTTTACTCTTGTTTAAAAATAGTGCTACTATCTTATATAGAATTTTACTTAAAGTTAATGTCATAATTACCTAATAGACTTTTTAAACTACTCAACTTTCAAAGTTATATAAAATGTACAGCTTAATTTATTATTTATATTTTTCTTGTGAAAAAATACCTAATGGAGTTGCCATGAATGTGAAGTTGTTTATCCCTTTAATATTTGATTTTACTAGTTTCTGGCAGTTGTGATCATCAGATACAATGAACATATAAATATCAATTTAGTGTATTCAAATGCTTTAAAAGTGGTTGTTTTAATATTTATTTTTGGACAAAGTACTGAATTTTAATTTTTAGGTAGTATTTGAGGTTTGTAATATAAATATTTGTAAGCCACTTTTAAAGACCTGGTCATGGGGTAGTAAATGGCTTGATTTAATTTTGAAAAAGTTCTGTTGGAATAAATGATAATAATAGAAACTAATATTAGATGTTTATTGTGCTCTAGGTACTGTGCTATTAGTTGTTTTTCCTTTCAATTCTACTTTATGAGATAGTTAGCAATATAATTCTGTTTCTCAGTTTAGAAAGTAAGAGAAAGGTTAGGCAACTTTGTCGAGCCACTTAATCAGTTGAGATATAAAAATGTCTTTTGTACAGTAGGGCAACTGCAGTCCTGATTTCAAGTACCTGCCAGTGCATCCCTATTGACCTGGGACTTCATTGCCTTATAACCAGAGGCAGTTCTATGCCTATCATCCTCTTATGTGTTTCACAGTCACCTAATGACAGTAATGATAACTCAGGCAAAGTCGTAGGGAGAAAGGTATCACTAACATCTTAGTGATAGAATCAATTTGTAAAAATATTTTGCAAGATGGAAAATTGTTCAGAAATTTAGGAAATGCAATTGAACAAGGAAAGTTATTGGCTGGTAGCTTTGAGGGGAGAAATATTCAAGTTCCTTAAATAAAAATGGAGAGTTAAGTTCCCACATGAAACAGGTTGTAATATATTACAAGACAGAAAGAAGTAGGTTGTTCTAGAGAAATTTTTTGGTTAGCTTTTAAAGTGAATTAATTTAATGAATGCCTATCATGTGCCAGAAACTTCTGAGGCTGGGCACTCAGCAATGCACTAAACACCTAAGTCCTAAATCTCTGTCTTGGAAAAGCTTAAATGTATGATCCATGAGGTTACTTTTTGTGTTAAAATGTGTCCATACTTTATATCTACTTGTAAATTACAAGATGTTTTATGAATTCTGTGGTGAATCGTCCTCTAAAGTGAATTACCATGTTCTTGCATGCCTGCTGTATGAATTTAATGACTACTGTAGGTTTTTTCTTAACGGGAACTACAGCTGTGTTTAGTGCTTGGCAGACATGAATTCTGTGTTTGGTTTCCTAGTCTGAAGCTAATTAGTGACACAGATTAGTTGAAAATGGTTCTGAAAAAAAAAATAGTTGAAAAGGAAACTAACAATGTAATTTGAAATTTGTTTTTTTTAAGTTTTTTTTATTTGTATACTTTTTTCTTTTTTTTTCTTAATTTGTTTTAATTAGTTATACATGACAGTAGAATGCACTTATATACTTTGATACAATTCCTCATTTTTCTGAGTATACATATTGTAGAATCACATTGGTCATACAGTCACATATAATTTGAGATTGGGGGATTTTTTTTTTCTTTTTTTGAGTAGTCATAAAGAAAAGATTCATCTCAAGAATACTCAAATAAAAGTAATGGTCTTCCACACATTAAGAGCAGTTCATTTTAACTTATTGTCATAGGAAATTTGCTCCCTAGATTCTTATCTTTGCTGATACCTTAAAATGTTGTCCAGACTTTGACATAATAAATACCAGAATAAAAGACATTCTGGAAAAGTAGGATTTAAATTTTTGAATTAAATTACTGTGGAATGATTTTGAGTTTAATTTTATCAGAACAAATGTAAATTAAAATGGACTAAAATTTACTCTGAAGGGTGCTCTCAAATCTGGAAGTACTTTTTTTTTTTTTTTCTTTTAATTAAGAGACTCTGTTTATACCAATTGTATGGCATATCTTCCGGGTTTTAAAAATAATTCTGGAAACAAATAAAGTTTTTTATTTACATCCAGGTAAACTCTTCCACATAGACTTTGGTTATATTTTGGGTCGAGATCCAAAGCCTCTTCCTCCTCCAATGAAGCTGAATAAAGAAATGGTAGAAGGAATGGGGGGCACACAGAGTGAGCAGTACCAAGAGTTCCGGAAACAGTGTTACAC